TTTTCGGTGCATTTCAAAGTAAGCTGTGATCTTTCTTATCACCCGTGGAGTCTTTACCGTAGAATGTACTCCAGCCTCACTTTCCAAACCTGCCACTCCTTACGCAGCCGTTCTGAGCAGCAGAGGGTACTCTGGACACCTCACTCTCCCGGGGAAGGATACGTGCTGGTGATCTGAGAGTTTCAACCCGTGGCTGCACGTCCCTCCCAGCTCTGTGTTCAGTGATGTCGTGTTGACAGCCTGTTGGTCGTCAGCGATTATGAGTGTGTTTACACCAGGGCAATGGGCAAACATTGAGCTTCTTCCCTGTCCACTGGAGCAGGTGGTTAAATATTTACCAGGACGCCGCTGTTTCAGCCTCGCCTTTCATCCTTTCTTAACGGGAATCTTCCTGGAAGGTCTGAGTGCTGATCTCTGTTTTAATAGGGGGTTCCTACCGAACAAGGCTCACCCTCTGTCTAAAGATCTTGCTTTGTCTCCAGTCACCGTGCCGCCGGCTCAGATCTAAAGATGTGGGGATGAATGGGGAGATTCAGAGGCCTGCAGGACAACCAACAGTCGCGGTCCCATTGTGTTCTGGACAGCTGAGGCTAGGCTGGCCGATGGCACGAGAGAGTGGGCACTGGGAAGGGGACACACTTCTGCAGGAAGGGGACATGTGTTCTGACAGTTTAGGTCCCCAGTTGGACAGCCCTGTACTTTTTTCCTAGATAAATGCTCTGGATTATTCGCAATCGAGTGGAAACCTCGCAATTGCTGGACAGACCATATGTACCACGTGGGCTCCTCTCCAGCAGCAGGGGACGGCCACGGGCCTCCCCAGATGTGCCGAGGGTGGTGATTCACTGGCTCAGAATGTCCGTGTTGACCTACTTGAAAACGATGCCGTGGCACCGCAGGCTGCACTTGGACTTGTGTGCGGGTCTGTTTCCCTCTTGGGTGGCGGCTCCAGCTCACCAGGCGGATCCCCTGTCCCGTCCTGCCTCTAGGCCCTGTGGCTCCAGAGGTGTCCTCTCATGGGCAGAACTGGCAGGCCCAGGGCCAGGTCTGTGGTCTTGTGGATGGGACAAGCCACGGAGACCTAGACTGAGACCAGTGCTGACGTGGCCCTGTCTGGAATGGCCCCGCCCTGTTCCGAAGGTGAGAGATTTCTCTCTGCTGGAGAGCAGCTGTGTGAGAAGGTGGCCCACGTGGCCACCAGGACTGCTGGGGATGCTCAGCGCTTCCTTCGTTTTCCAGGTGGGCGCCCCCAAGCCATCTCTGACTCAGCGGCCCCGCCCATATAGGTGCAGTTGGTCCCAGACATGGGAAGGGTGGTCATTGGCCCCAGAGGCCGTAGGCTGTTGTGTTCCTTCTCTCTGGCCGGTTTCCACATTGGCTCAGGAGCCTTGCAGGAGTCTCCTGGGAGATTGCCTGTCTCCAGTGGGTAAGGCATGGCTGCCCAGGTCCCCAGGAACCAAAGAGACACACGGGGACCTTCCCCTGGCTTAAGGGGCACCCTGATCTATACAGTCCGTAGGAAGCTGTGTGGGCCCCTAGGCCCCTGGGCTGGGCAGCCTTTGTCCTTTGTCCTGGTCCCTCTCACACAGAGCAGCCGGCGCAGGCAAACTCCTGGCAAGGGCTGCTTGCTGGGCCGAGTCAGGGCAAGTGACTCATGCTGAGGCGGGAGGGTGAGGACAGGCCCCGTGCGTTAATAGCAAAGCCATTACATCCCCAGGCCACTTCACACGGGGGACAAGGGGGACAAACGGTGCATTGAGACTGATTCGCTGCCGCTGGCTGCAGCAGCGCTCGGGTGGGGAGAGTCCATACCCCGGAAAGCAGCGGCAGATCGTCGGGGGGGCCCCGCGCACCCGCTCTTCCTGCCTCCCTCCCACGCACAGCATTCTGTTCCCAAGGCTTCGGGCCAAGACCCAGAGGCAGCGTCCCAGGTACCGGCCACCCTCTTCCTTGGGGGTCGCAGCTTCCCTGCTGGGCCTCGGCAGCCTGGCTCAAGGATGGTGGGGTCGCCTAGGCTCCTCCCCCTCCCTCTGACCCTGGATTTGCCCTCTGGGGGATGTCCTGGAGCACCCAGGGGTTCTGGGGTCACTGGCTGAGGAAGGAACAGAGCCCAGGCTGCCTGGACACCTGCTACCTCCCTGATCTCATGCTTCTGGAACAGTCTCTGGCCTTTCAGGCTGGTTTCCAGCACATGTCCTCATAGTGACCATATGGTTGAGAATCAGTTCTCTTCCAGGGCCCACTGCGGTTCCCCGGGCAGGTTTCTGTCGTTGCTGGGGAAGCGTGGGAGATGCTGTTCCCCTAACACTCCCCGGGGGCCAGTGTCTCTGTCGTCGTCTCAGAATGGAGGGGGCAGGTGCTCCAAATTCCAGGTCCCAAGGAAGAGCTGTCGGCAACCCACACCTCTGAGTCTCCTTTCCACCCTTCCAGTCAGAGAAGAGCAGAGTGGATGCCCTCTTCTGTGGGCAAAAGCTACGGGCAGGCCGACCGTAATTCATCCGCCCCCCCTCTCCATCTCTATCTCTATTTATATGGCCCAAACTGGCCAAAGATAGAGGAAGCAGCAATGATAGGCACTGAGCTCCCTGTCATTGAAGGTATTCAAGGGTAGGGCTGATAAGCACTTAAGGGATTGGCATGGAGGTGGCTTTCAGCAGGGCTGTGGGTGCAGGATACGCCTGGAAGCCCTTCTGGAAGGTTGAGGAAGAGGGAGGAGGGCCCCTGCTTCCTCCGAATTTTAGCCCTCTCTCCTCCCACTCGCTGGGTGTTGCCAGGGTGGTGGGCAGGGGCATCGTTAGGTCACATGGCCACAGTCCAAGGGGGCAGGCGGGTGGGCAGCTCCCCAGAGAGGAGGTCACCTTGGTCACTGCGGTGACTTTAAAAATAAGTGTGGCCTCAGAGGGCCTGCTGGCCTTTCTTCTCTGCTCTAGGCCGTTGTTCCTGCTGACGTGGAACTGGGGCAGGCCGGTGACTCAGCCCTGTCCCCGCACTGCAGCGGTGGCCAGCAGCCTGCTGGGGAACAGTGGCAGGGGCGCAGGGACACTGAGGGACAGCCTGTCCTCCCAGGTAGAGGCTTAGCCAAGCCTCCTGGCAGCCCCTGGTGAGGAGTCTGCAGGCTGGCACAGCCGCCTGCTGCTTTGAGGCTGGGTTGGCACCAGGGGGGCTGCTCCTTAGAGGCCCCTTGCGTGACTTCGCAGAGCCCCTGGAAGGACCCGTGGGAGCCTCTGTCAGCAGGGCTATATGGGGGTGCTGAGCGTCCCCCTACCCATCTCGGTACATCCAGCCTCAGGTGGTTGCTGGGACGTTGGGGACTTTAGCTGGTTCCAAAGCCTGGTTTTGGGGGTTGGAGGAGGAACACAGGGTCGTGGGACTATGTAAAGCTGGAATAATTAGGAATAAAATATGAATCATCGAGAGAAGCGTATCTGGGTGATAACTCACCAAGCCTGTGGGGGCCCAGACTGCTGAATTTGCTGATCAGAAGCCCACCGGACTTGCCAGTAATCAGATGACACCGCCTGAGCCACATGCCAGGGCTTTCAGAGCCTCGCCGAGCTCTGGGCAGAGGGGGGCAGGGGCAGGGGCAGGGGCAGAGGCAGGCTGGTCAGCGAGGGCTTTGCAGGGACTTGGGAGGGAGGAGGGCCCTGGGGCAAGAGCCAGTGTTCAGCGTGGGGGCCTTTTGTGAGCTGGTGGTTAAACAGCGATCGTTAACATTTTAATGACATGCTCTGCACAAGGTGTAATTTACATTTTATAAAATACATAAAATTTAAAATATATATATATTATTATTTTAAATTAAGTCATAGACTTACCACATGTTTTCACTTTTGGGTAAATACTCAAAAGAATGAGAAGCAGAGATTCGAGGAGACCTGCGCCCGCGGTCACAGCGGCGCTGTTCGGTTGGGAGGAAACCCCACCACCTGCCGCGACACAGGTGAACCTTGAGGACATCGAGCTCCGTGGAATCAGCAAGATACAAAGGACCCATATTATCTGATTCCACTTACAGGAGGTCCCCAGAGTAGTGAAACCCACAGGGAGAGGAAGTAGAAGGGAGGTTGCTGGGGGGCTAAGGGGCGGG